CATCTTAATTCATCAGGGAAATGCAAATCAAAACCAACAATGAGATATCACTTAACCCCAGTGAGAATGGCCTTTATCAAAAAGTCTCCGAACAATAAATTATTTTATTTCATCCATACCAGAACTCCAATGAAGTTATCATTACAAAGAGAAAAATTAAGGCTCAGAGAGATTAAGTGGCTGATTCTAGGTCACATATCTGGTTGGTGATGAAGCTCATATTTGAGTCAAAGGCAGCCTAATTTTAAAATTGGTATTCTTTTCATAGAAGTACAGGATCTGCTTGCCCCGTGTATGAGTACAAGAAATGGAAGAGTGGTCAGAGAGTCTGCGCAGACTTTTTGCCAGGTCTTTGTTTCAAAAGAACATTTTACACAAAACAGCAGGATGTGAAAATATAAACAATTAGAAAAGCAGGAAATCCCCATCTCTATGATTGCTTTAATCAGCAACCTCATCTCAGGAGGAGGTTACACACAGCAACCCCCATATTTCTGGATTTCTTTGGAATTTAGTTTCTGCTCCATTTTTCCAATGAAAAAATAAAATCAAAAAGTCTCAAAGTACTCTGCAGTTTGACTCAGAGGCATGACACCTTCTTGAGTAAGGGGCAGAGTGAGGTTTGGTTTAGAGATGATATCCTTCGCTGTTTTGGAGAAATAATTGTTAACCAAAGGAAATAATCCTTCACACAATTGCTATGAATATACAAAACTCATTATTCCAAGAAATAGAGCAACTGCAAGTGTGATAACAGCTGCTTTCATTTAGACAGAGCTTTGCCATTAGCCAGCCACCTTTATTAACTCTTAGGATTCTTAACACAACCTTGAAGAGAGACACAGAGTTAGAAAGAAAGGATATTCACATTTACTGAGCATGTGCTATGTTCCAAGCTCTTTCATGAGCATTTTAATTTATCTACATTTTCTCATTTAATACAGCAATGTTATAAGTGCCATTACTATTCCTGTTTTCATGTAAAGTAAAACTCGAAGAGTTCAACTCAACACGTCCTGACTCTAAATTTTGGCTCTCCATTATAACCAGCTACTGTCTCTATTTTATTCGTTAAGTTTAAGAAAGGTTTTTATAGAGTCATAGAAAAATACATCATTGGGGACTTATGAAAGAACCCCAAGAGGTCACCTTTAAGAAGAGACCATGGTGGACCTCAGTCTCAAGTCATCTTTACTTCTCATTCTATATATTCTCCCAGGGCCATTTTATCCATGCCCAGGTCTCCAATTACCTTTTATAAATTAATGATACTTGAATCAATATCGCTATCCAGATCTCTCCTCTACATTCCTTTCCACATATCCAATTATCTTCTGATAATCTGACTTGGATGACCGACAGGCATCTCTAAGGTATTATGCCCCAAATGAAAGTATTTTCCTGCCCCTCTCTTCCTGCTCTTTGTTTCATGTTCCAGTGAATGGCACCACCATCCACTCCAATGCTCAAATAAAAAAACATAGGCAGTTTTCTTGGCTTCTTACCATCCCACACTGCTCTCCATCTCACCTTACCACCCCCCCACCCCACCCCCAACCCCGTCTAATCAATGGCCAAATCCTATCAACTCTACTTCCAAATATTTCTGGAATCCACATGCCTCTCTCTCTCAGGAACTCAGCTGAGCTTTCAGGTATTGGAGTAGCTGATTAAAAATTAGCCAAAATGGAAGATCCAGGTCTTTAAAAATTTACTGTGCTAGTACAAGGAAAAGGCTAAAATCAGAGAAAGTGCCAACCCCCCTTTCATTTTCCCCCATGAAACAGTGAGCTGGTGCAGTCAACTCACCAATGAGGGAGCCCTAACCAAAAGGCTCCTTCAGTTTTATGGACCCTAGGGCTAGAGGTGAGGAAGAAAGGGAAGGCTAGAAGTAGAAAAATACTGAGTACTGCATTAGAATGGAAAAAGTGTCTTCAAGGTCCTCGGATAAGGAAAAGACTTCTAAATGGAGGTGCCTGGGCTAAGAATGCAGAAATGTATAAGAGCATGGCTGACCAGGAGGGCCTGAGTCCTTGACTGCAACTGTCTTCAGAGACTGCAGTGCACTGGCTGCGCACCACTCCGGTGTGGGGAGGGCTGCTTTTCCTATGAGGCATTCCAGGTAAAGCCTTTGTAATTGCCTGTGGCCAGGCCTGAAATATCACACATACGATTTTGGTCCAGGAGCTAGACTTCTCACTCCTGAGCCCTACTTCTGCTACCTGAACCAAGGCTGCCATCCTTTCTTACCTCCAGAATTGCAACAGCCTCCTCACTGGTCTTCTTGGAGCCAGTCTTGCCATCCTCCAATCTGTTTTCCATCAAGCAGCCAAAGGGATCTTTGTAAAACACAAATATGGCCTATTCATGCCTGTATCAGTCAGGGGCCCAAAAGGAAACAGACTTTAATTCAGATGATTCAAATGTAAAGCTTTGATGAAGGGGTGACTTAAGAGATGTGGGCAGGATTAAAAAGACTAGAAACAAGGGAAGTTATATCCATCTGCAGGCTTGAAGGGACAAGAAACAGTTACTCAGTGAAAGCTGGAGCTACAAAAGGGCTGCCTGGCAGGGCCTGCAGTCAAGGAGGGATACACCCACTGTCAGAGATATAAACTGAAGCAAGGGGGCATGGGGCATAGGCACCTCATTGTAGACAAGGGAGACAGGGTGACAGACCCTGTGGGGATCAGCTTTCCAAGGCAGGAGAAGAGAAGGGCAGGAAATGGACCTGGAGGTATGGGAAACAGAAGAACCAGCACAATGCTTCTGCTTCAAACTCACCAGTGTCCTCACATTGCATGTAGGGTAAAGTCCAAGCTCCTAGATGTGGCTTCCAGATCCTTCCTGATCTGCTGGAGCCTTCCTCACAAGTTTTATAACATTCTTCATTCCCCTTTCACTCTATACTTCAGCCACATTTGGTTTACTTTGGTTTTACTTTAGGCCTTTGTAAAGGTTATTCTCTCTCCTAGACACATTTTCTCCAATCACCATCCCTTTAACCTAAAGACATATTACTGGTAACTTAACTATCACTCTCTGAAGGAGTTCTGTTATCACACGGCCTTCCCTGGGCTTAGTGTTTTCTTATGGACTCCTGTATCCTCCTTCAACCTCAAAGCCTTTGATAAATTGCCTGTCACTCCTACTGTACTGTAAGCTTTGAAGAGCACAGATTTTATCTATCACATTCACTATTGTATCACCAGAGTGTGCCTGGTACTAGTAAGTACTTAAATATTTATTGAATGAATGAGAATTTACTAGATTTACTAGATTTCATGTACTTATGATTTATTGTCTTTTCCTTCTATTTCCATTTTACATAGAGATTATATTAGGTGAAGCTGCTGAATTTTACCAATAACTTTTCAATAAGTATTGATATGATCATGTGTGGTTTTTTTCCTTTAATTTGCCATCATAATAAATGATGTTAAATGATTGATTTTATATGATATATTTGCACTCCTAAAATATATACCACTTAGTAATAATATAGATTGTTCATTTTATTAGATGCTAGATTTTATTTATTAATACTTAATTTAGATTTTTTTTTACCTAGATTGATTTGTAAGAGTTATACATTGTTATACTCTTCATCTGGCTTTGGTAACAGGATTATGCCAACTTCATAAAATAAATAAATGAGCTTAAATAGCATCAGAACTATTTGTTGTTTACAATTTAAAGGTAGAGCAGTTATGAAACATCTGGCCTTGGCACCTTCTTTTAATGATAGACCTATATTCACCTGTATTAGTTTCCTATTGCTGATGTAACATATTGCCACAAATTAAGTGGTTTAAAACAACATAGATTTATTCTCTTATGGTTCTGGAGGTCAGAAGTACAAAATCACTCAGGAAGCTGAGGCAGGAGGGTGCTTGAGCCCAGGAGTTGAAGGTTGCAGTGAGTACCTTTTACCACATAAAACTGCATATGTATTCACATATTCTGGGGATTCCGACATGGGCATCTTTGGTAGGCCATAATTCAGCCTACCACATCACCTTCCAAACTTATTCTATGGAAATTGGTATTTTAATGTTTTCTACTCCTTGGGTCAATTTTAGACATTTGTATTTTGCTAGAAAATTTTTTGCTATAGATTTGCATAGAATATTCTCATAATTTTTATTTCATTATTTCTTTGATAGATATCCTTTTTTATTCCTAATGTGAATTTCTTCTTATGCATATTTTATTGTTTTGCCATAATCAGGCTCATGAAAATTTCTTTATTGGTCTTCTGAAAGGAATAGCTTTTAAGTTGATGTATTCTTTCTGTATTTAAAAAGTTTTCTATTTTTTCAATTTTAGAAAGGAATAGCTTTTAAGTTGATGTATTCTTTCTGTATTTAAAAAGTTTTCTATTTTTTCAATTTTAGCTTTCATTTTCTTCGTTTGGGTTTTTGTATGCTTTTTTTAGTTTTTAAGATCATCATTAGATTATATATTTCTTTTGTTAAATACAAATTTATTTTTTCTTTAATGCATATATAGGTAGTACAGGAGTGTTATGGCAACTCCACAGTCATAGGGACATATAGGCTGCTCCTTTTTTTTTTTTTTTGGATTTTTTATATTTATTTTTTCTTGACATATAATAGTTGTACATATTTTTTGGTACATGTGATATTTTCATACCTGTATACAATGTGTAATGATCAAATCAGGGTAATTGGGATATCTATCACCTCAAAGATTTACCTTTTCTTTGTGTTGGGAACATTATAAATCTCTTCTTGTAATGGAGGGAATGGCCTAAAAAAAGGCAAAAGTATCTCTTTAAAACATCCCCCACTCTTTTTAGCCTGCATCCCTGCCTCAGGCCAGTGGTAGAGAGGAACAGGGAGAAGGCCTTTTGTTCTTATCCCAGGTGGCTCCAGACCCCAGTTGGTCAGCTGGCGGAGTTCATAGGCTTTGTCTTTGGCAGAGATGGGATGATTAGAATAGTTAACCACAGTAATTGCCTGAAATTGAGAACCAATCCTTTAAAAGCCCTGTATTTCTGCCTATGTGAGAGAAATTTGGATTTTGAGATGAGAAGGTCTACCATTTTTCCTGCTTTGCTGGCAAGGCAAATCTCTTTCCTCATCCCCCAAACATTTGTCCTTATTCTTCTGATTCAGCCTTGTGGACAAGTGCTGAATTTTCGGTAACAGATTTTGGCATCTCTGGGTGGGCCCATTGGCTTCCCAGTAGAATGGCACCCTGAGACTGCTGGAAGAGGCAGGGAGCAGCTCTAGGACAAGCCGTGGATAGGGGCATCACCTCTTTGGGTAAGAAAGAAAAGGATTTCCAGCAGCTGCTAGGGCTTTTACTCCAGGAAGTTCGTCTCTCTCTTTCCAGATGAATGGAGCTCCAACAGACCTGAACTGATTTGGGCAGGAGGAAACAGATTTGGGAAGTGTTGCAACAGCCATGACTATTTGTAAGTAAAGCCCCCTGGGGACACCAAGACCCTGTTTTCATCCACTGGGTGGGGGTGGTTTCAAACCTCCTTGTTGGTTTACTGGCACTGTTTGTGGGTAGAAATGTTGTGGTTTAGAGGGACAGGGAAGCTGGATTGAATTTGGAGCTCTTTTGTGGTTCCCAGGGAATAGGGGAGACTAGGGTACCATTCAGAGAAGGTTTCTCAGGGAACAGGGGAGTTACTTATCCCCTCTGGATTCCCATTTGTGAACCTTCCAGCCCTATGGCAGGGCATTTGGGACACTGTGAAGGTGTAATTTGTGTGGCTTTGTCTCCTTTGGATTTCCATTTGTGTTGAGAATTTTCTATATTGACTGTGTTTGTGAAGTTTTGTTGCAACATAGGAAAATTCTGTCTAAAAGTCCCTTGGGAAAATTTTTGGCTGGATGGTAAACTTATAACTGGGAACCTACATCTAAGGAAAATGGTTTTATCGTAATACAATGTCTATGCTAGAATGTGACGAAAAGTGGCTGTTAAGTGAAAGTTTACATTGTTCTGTCTTGTAACTGAAATTATTTTGTCAAAGGTCAGGTAAATGGGACAAAGTCCCAGATCCGTTAGCTTATTGGATAGGAAATGACTGATTTATTTGGGGCTGGACGTTTCATGTTTGATGACCTAATGTGATCTTAAATGCCTGTGGTAAAGTTAATTGTTTACTTGAACTGTTGAACTTCCCCTGTGAAAGGGGAAACCAGTGGATACAGCCTGCTGCTAGGTGGTGAGGGGCTTGGGGAAGACAGTGCCTGTGGCCCCCACCCCCAGCCTGTGTGCAACCCTGAGAGAGCCGCAGCTCATTGTTGTGTAAGAGGAGGGCAGACAGCCTAAGCTCCAGCCTGTTGAGCACCCACTGCCACTGTGAGGGGCGGGGAAGATCATTGTGAAACTCTTAAGTCACATGCCCGCTACATTATCACTCAGGATAGGAAAAGTCTCTTCCTCTAAGACCAGGCAGAAAACTCAATTTGGCCAGGGCAAGTTCTGTTATCAGAAGGGGACAAATTAAAAAGAAAGGACATTTAAAAAAGGGCATTGCCCAAAAGTTACAAAGGCTTCAGATTGTAAGAAGCCCCTAGGAGAGAAAAAAGGTTTTAAGGTCGGGACTCAGATGGCAAAGGAGGGGGCTGGAGTCCCCTGCCTCCAAATATCCCCACAAGAGCTCTGAGAGAAATTGAGAGTGGGGAATCAATTGGTGCCCACCTGCATGGGCAGAAGTGGTCTAGTGGGGGCCCTGGCACCAGCCTCGCCCAGCACTCAGAGAGCCAGGCAGAGGGCAGTGGGGGAGGGGCCAAACAGCAATGAAGCAGCTATATAAACAAGCTGCACCTGAAGCACCTGAATGGTATTACAGGATCCTGGGACTAGAATGGCTTTACAGCACTGTTAGACTGTGTCAGTGTTAGGTTTGTTCCAGGTGGGAACCCGAAAAGTATGTGTAGGACAGAATGGGGTTAATGCAAAACGTAGGCTTGTAAAGCAATAGCCACAGGAGTCTGGAGAGTCCCCAGACTTTGCAAATCTAACAGACAGCTGCAGCCAGCATTCCTTCCCTCTCTGTGCCTGATAGAGAGGAAGGTTATCCCTCCCTAGCGCTCCTGATAAGGATGAAGCCAGAGCTGAAGGATGGATGTGACTGGGGCAAAAGTGTCCTATAATTTGGTTATTTGAAGAAAAATGTATTACAAGCAGCTGTTCTGGCCCACTTACTCCCCCTGAAAAAACCCTCTATAAAACCCAGGTCTCTTCCTTTTTCTCTGGTGGAACATTTTTTGCCTCTACCCATCTGCACCCAGATGCTCAAAATAAACAGCATTTTGCTACATGTGAGGCTTTGTGTGTCTCTCTCGGCTCTGGGCCTAACAGGAGTTTTTAAAAGGGCTCTCCTGCCCTATTTGATTAAAGCATAGCAGGGGATTTGTGAGCCTGCAATCAGGCAGATTTGTAAACTTGTATTACCTTATGTGGGGTTCCTAGGAATGGTGTCTGGATCCCAGACTTAAGACTGATGGTAAAGCCCTCATATGAGGCCCTTAAGAGAACAGCTTATTACTGCCCCATTCAGGGTTTGCCTCACTTCTAAATAATATGAAAAACAGGGAATGAGCCTTAGACTCTTAGTACAGATGCTGAGAGACATCCCAAGACCAGTGACATGTTAAAGTCACTGAATAATATTGTGAGATGGCCTCCATGATAAATTGTTATTAAAGACTATGTCTATTCTCAATCCTGCCACCCTTTTGCCTTTGACTGTTTAAAGGTTCTGGAGACCATATTCTAGGCAGAGTGGATCTGTCAGATCTGCTGATGCCAGAACAAGATTGGGGTTTGCTCACTGGTGGAACAGCTTTATGAACAAAGAGGGACTGGATATGCAGTAAGCACAGTGGTGGCACTGCCACCTGGGACTTCAGCCCAGGAAGCTGAGTTGTAGTTATCAAAAAGGAAAAGGTAAACATTTATATGCTTTTATAATTATACGTGCTCATAGTGCCATTTGAAAGGTGTTTCCTGACAGCAGGAGATAAGAATATTAAGTGTGGCACTGAAATAATGGCCTTCATGTAGGCCATGTCTGATCCCAAGCAGTTGGCCAACATGGCAAAAAGAAGTGAGGCCGCTGACAGAGCTGCTAAGAAAGCTACTGGGGGTGATCTGTTCTCTGAAAGCCCCTGGAGGTAATCTGTTTTCTGGGGCCTTAAACCCCCAGCTAGATTTAGGTCCCCTTTGAAGCTAATGACTGGCACTCTTTGACATTTGGGATGGCACAGCTATATAGAGACAAATTTCTCATGAACTTGTTTCCTACTTGAAACTTTGGTCCGGCCTCTTTTGAGGCACCTACACACATAAGAGGTGTAATGCCTTAATAGCTTTGGGGAACCTCATTTGGGAAAACCCCATTTACAATGGGCTGTTCATGTGCTTACCTTAGTGGATTTGGTGAGACTTCATTTGGGAAGATCCTGTGTGCCACAAACTGTTTATATGCTTGAGGTGATCCAAGGACAGAAAGGTGGCCCACTGCACAGGGAGCCCAACATGTAGGGGGCCCAACCCTTTTGATGATTGATAGTTTCACTTGGTATGAATAGATATTTTTTTCAGGCTGGGAATGGCGAGAGCATCTAAAGCTCCAAGATGTACTTTTTCCTGTGCAATTCTTTTAATCTTAAATTCCACTCTAGCTAATATGGACATTCCTGCTTTCTTTTTTGTTTAAATTTACCTAGTGTCTTGTTATCCACCCATTTATTTTTGAAGTTTATAATTTTGTTTTAAATGTCAATTGTAAGCGTAATTAACATTGTGTATCTGGGTTTAAATGTATTTCTGAGTTTTGTTTCTTTTATCCAATCTAGTTTTTCATAGAAGATTCACATTAGCTCTAACAATTGATATATATAATTTTATTCCTTTCATTTTATTTTTATTATATTTTATGATATTTATTTACCTTGTTTCATCTTTTCCCTTTTTTTTTGCCTTTCTTGTTGTCATTACATTTGTTGTTTGTTTTTTACTGTTTTATTTGTTTTTACTGGTCTAGTTCCTTCCTCTTCCCTTTTCTCCCTTGTGATTATGGTATTCCTAGCATACCTTTCATTTTACTAGCCATCACCTGCTCTTTTATGATGCTCATCTTCCAAAACATATCTCTATTATTATATGAGAGCAAAATACCAAAGCTTTCCACATACCTCACTCCTTCCCTATAATAAAATGAGACCTTTAAATAGTTATACTTTCTCATTTCCTCCTCAAATGAGACCCTTACAATGCTTTTATTTTCCGCCATCTATTTGCCACCTCCTACAACAAAATTTTAGGGTTTTTAAAATTATCATATTTTAAAATGCAAACTATCAAAATATTTAGCTAAGACCCAAATATTTTTATACTTTCCCTTGAAATACGTAGTTTTTATTTCAAAAATTCTTATTTAGCCCCAAAATTACACTTTCCTATTTACTGTGTCACTATTCACTTATGTTATTATACACACAGAGCCAGATGTGTTGCTCATTACTTTTCCTCTCCCCTCATATTGAAACCTCTATTCTAACACTTGTAGTGTGGCAGTGTTCTTCTTAAATGAAGTATGTAATTAATACTCTTTGAATTCTGGAGTTTCTGCAGTTTTTTTTTTTTTAATTTTGATTAGACTAGACATTGAATTATTGGGTTTCAGTTCATTTTTTGGATATTGCCTAGAGGAATGATATAATTTGTTTTTAGATTCCACGGTGCAGGTGGCAAGTCTGATGGTGCTGGGAGCATAGCTAACACACTGCAAACTGGCAGGTGAAAACCACAGGTTGGAGGCTGCATGATGCCAGTATGATTCTTTTTTCTTTGTAAATATAGCAGACATTCTTGGTTGCCTACTCAACATCTCCTAACTTCCTTCTCCCTTCTTAACATGAACATTCATTTTCTTGGGTATCATCCCATTCTTCACTATATCTATCCCATTCCCTGTACTAGAATTGAGGATTTTGGTTAGTATTGTCACCGCCCTAGCAGGTTCATTGCCCACTGCCCAAGAGGAAGCCAATACACTAACACAGCAGTTGTTACAGCAGAAAAAGTGTTTAATTCCGCATAGCACAAAGTGGGGAGATGGGAAAAATTTCTCAAATATGCCTCCCCAAAAATTTGGGAAAAAGGGTTTTTAAAGACAGTTTGGCAGTCAAAAGTCTATCTAGGCAATTGGACCTGCTAATTGGTTGGGTTTATGGTGGAACCATAGGACTGTAGAAATTGTCTTCTTTGCTGACTAGATTCTTGGGTGGGGTCACAAGACCATTTGAGTCAGTTCCTTTGTATGGACCACTGGTCTGAGTGGGCCAGCCATTTCACTGGAATGCAGGACCTGGAATATATCTCAGAAATTACCCCAAGGTTTCAAAACGGTGATGTAATCTATAGAGAAAACTAAGAATCTTTATGACCACCAGTTATGTGACTCCAGAATGGCAATTATAGAGAAGCAAACAGGGGGGCAGTGACTAATTATTATCAAGCAAAAGAGGGAACATTGGTTGATTATTATTATTATTATTATTTTATTTTATTTTATTTTTTAGGAGACACAGTCATGCTCTGTTGCCTAGGCGAGAGTACAGTGGCATCAGCCTGGCTCAAAACAACCTCAAATTCCTGGGCTCAAGTCATCCTCCTGCTTCAGCCTCGTGAGTAGCTGGGACAACAGGTGCATACCACCATGCTCAGCTAACTTTTTTCTTTTTTTAATAGAGATTGGATCACTCTTGTTCATGCTGGTCTCAAACTCCTGACCTTAAGCAATCCTCCTGCCTTGACTTCCCAGAGTGCTAGGATTAGAGGTATGAGCCATTGCACCTAGCCCTGATTATTATTAATCATTATTATTATTTTTCTAGCTAGGCCTATATCATCACAGAGTTTTGGGCCCTTACCCAAGTTCTCACCTTAAACCCCTTCATTGAGTTATAAGGGTGGTTTCAGTATAAGCCAATCATGAAAAGCTCATTTCCTTTTAATTAACTTAGAATGTGCATGTGACTCTGCTCTAGTCAGTAATATATCAAGGTATTAGGAAATGTTTCTTGAAAAAGTTTTCTGGCTTTATATCAGGATTCTCACATCTGTTCCACTGGTCAATATTCCTGTTTTTGTGCCAATACCATATTGTTTTAATTACTACAGCTTTGTAGTATAGTTTGATATCTGGCATATTAATGCCTCCCATTTTGTTTTTGTTGCCTAGAATTGCTCTTGATATTCGGGGTCTTCTTTGGTTCCATAGGAAGCGTAAAATTATTTTTTCTATATCTGTGAGGAATGCTGATGGGATTTTAATAGGTATTGCATTGAATCTGTAGATCAGTTTGGGTAGTATAGACATTTTGATGATAGGAACAGATGTGAGAATCCTGATATAAAACCATCCTCATATAGCCATCTCATCTTTGACAAAGCAGACAAAAACATACGCTGGGGAAAAGAATCTCTCTTCAATAAATGGTGCTGGGAAAACTGGATAGCCACCTGTAGAAGGCTAAAACAGGACCCACACCTTTCACCTCTCACAAAAACCAACTCA